TTGTCATGCAGTTCAAATAGGATGTCATCATCTTTCATTGCAAAAAATCCTCAATTGTAATACACTTGTACATTTCCACAATTTAAGGTTGTACAGTCTGGTGGAAAAAATATCGAGCTGGCTGTAATGAGAAGAAACCAACCTCTCAAGGTAAACTGACTTAAGTAATACTAACTTTTTGTTTTGAGGATGGGTTGCTATATCATGGTCTTTAGTTGCTTGGAAAAGAGCTCTGCGCTTGAAATGTGATGGGCTTCCTAATAAGTAATATAAATAATATGGCATCTATACATGATACTTCTGAAGCCTAATTAGAGGAATAATTCCTTACAAACTCTTGTTTCACTCATTCCATTTTATTCCTAAATTCATATATACACTAAAGCAGAGGTTTTTCACACTTAAATATGTATGGATTTCAACTCCCAGAATTCCTCAGACAAATCCCCAGAATTCTAGGAATTCAGGTTCACCCTGCTTAAAATCCCACAGTTAGAAAAATGTGCTATAGAACAGCTATTCCCAACCTTTTGGGTGCCAGGGATTGGTTCCATGGAGGGCAGTTTTTCCGCATCCCATGGAGGATGTGGTTTCATGTGCTGCCTGGATCCTGTGCATGCACAAATGGGGCGTTGTGTGACCCACTTCCTGGCTGGCCTTGGACTGGTGCTGGTCCGCAGCCCAGGGGTTGGGGACCCGTGTTATAGGACATTATAAATGCAATTTGAAATTTTGCCTCAAATGAAAAACAATTATTGCACACGGATTTCACATTTAGTTGACAGCAGCATCCTTGACCTAACAGGACTAGAAAAGATGCGGGTAAATAAAATAGGTAATGGATTTATCTGTTTTTCCCTTACCCGTTTTGCTTAACTGCACTGTTATTCTGTTTATTACCATTGGATCAATTAGAATCCTTCAGAGAATGAGATAATTTGTCAGGGAACAAGCCACACTGAAACCTCTGGTTACATAATATTTGAAACTGACCAATTGATTGTATTTTCATCCCTTCCATTTAGATACTGAGCCCTGATGAAATTGAAAAATATGTTGCTGAAATTGAAAAAGAGAAAGAAGAGAATGAGAAGAAGAAACAGAAGAAAACTACAACATGATGAAAGAATTTTAGTTTTGGGTTTTTAAATCAATCATGAGTCTGTATAGATATGTAAGCATTCTATTTCCTTGTTCTCTGCCCCTTTTAAGAGGTCTACAATAAACCACCTGTTTTTTTAAGCTTGTTATTAAAAGAGGCTCCATTCTTATATGTGTATATATAAAAGCCAGGCTGCAATAATAATACCAGAGTTTTTCTAAACAAAAATAGAAAATGCTTTCGTAACTTGTTCAGGAATCCACAATTTGACATAGAAGATATCTTTTATTACTAATTGTTCTATTACTGTTTATGACCACTGCTACATTGCTAATGTTTATGTTCCAGTTTGTTAAAATTCATTGGGGTAATGATTGACAAAGCCTAAAATTGCTGAAACCTTACTCCAGCATAATGTGGAAATGGTTCATACTTAAGTTTTGTACTTAAATACAAAAGATAAAATGTAAACTTCTGATCTCTGTTGAATGTTTGACAGTAGATCTGTGTGAATTGATTTCTAACTGAATGGCAGTAAATTTCAATAAAATCATTTTGGCAGGTAGTCATAGAAATTCTCATACAGAGTCAGGATGGGACCATGGTTGTAATGTCACCCTGAAATTATGAAAATGTCTTGCTTCTCCGAAAAATATATTGGTGTTGAGTCCTTTTCTTACAAGCTAATCTGGTTGTGTTCCTTTGTCAATTCCAGACAATCATCAAAGTCTTGGTAGTTACAATCCAAAACTTGAGAGTTGACATACATATCAAATGGTGTATTTTGTGGGGAAAGGATGCAGTATGGTGAAAAGTATTTGCATGTAGAATAGGAAAATAGGGACTATTAAGTGGAATCATTGGAAAAAGGGAGTTTTCTGTAGCTTACTTAGAACAAGTAAGCATTTCAGCAAAAAAAAATTTAATCTGTTCCTTGAATAATGATCCCTTGTGATTTTGCAGCCCAGATAGAATAATGTAAGGTAGAAAACTAGGGCTAAGTTAAGACTCACAGATCTAAATGTGGCAGTGTACACGTGCTGGAGAATACTTGTGAGCCTTTAAAAGGTGATGTCAAGATCCTGACCAATGAACCTAAGCAAATCAGAACTCGGAGGATGAGGTCTTCCTCTAAGAACTTTATTGGGTACATCATATTGGCACAATCAAATGGAAAACCAACTCTAAATGTTTCCTGCAGTTTCAGTATAATTAAAATAGGAATCAACTCCCTCCCCAAGAGTCACAGGTCACATTGGCCAATTAGGTTTATTGGTGGGCTCTCCAGGCACTCCTTCCTGTCTCTATCCACCACCTGTAGGACCTTGGTTCCCATGAGAAAGTTGTATTTTGTCTAACGTATTTCATTCCCCCACTTCAATGTGGAGCTGAGGAATAGCAAAATGGCTTCTGCCAGGCTCGATTCGAAGTTGACAGGTAGTGCACTTAGTGCAAAATTCACAAAGGTTCAAAGACCGATATAGTAATAGTAATGAATGGAAATTTTCAAGTAATTTTCAAGTTCAGTATAGGTGTTCCACATGATTTAAAAACTCAAGAAACCTGGCTTCTGAAGTGATGGCGGGATGCTTCTATTAACACCAGTGGTGCTTTCAGAGCAGGTAGTTTTAAAGGGTATGTTTCTAATGGATTTTCGTTTGTCAGTATTAATACTTAACTGCCAATTACCAAATTCAAGGAAATGTCCTCTAACATTATGAACATCCCAGTGTTGCTTTATTTGGGCAGCTTACAAGATCAAATGGCATGTGTTAGCAGTATTGTGCCAGCAAGAGATTGCTGTTACAAACTACACAGATCCCCCTTGGAAGTATCACATGTATAGCCAGGACTGGAAAGCTAGTATGTTGCAGAACCAGTGCCAATAAGAATAGTCTACGTGGAGCAAATCTTGGCTTTTTTGCAAGATGAATTACTATCTTCAGAAAACATCTAGGAATGTGTAAATCATCCAACCCCCAATTTCAATTTGGTCAAAAAACTGAGTTGCATAATCAGATTTAGCCGTTTTCAATATTTAGTTAAGTGTATGGCACAAATCCATCAAAATTTCAAAACTGTTCAAAGACACTCAGTGGATCTTGTTTATTTGGTTCAATTACATGTACAGGGTATGGTTTGCAAGAATATTTTTCCCTGTTAAGCAACCATTTTACTCTTTTTTTCAGATAGTCCCTACAAACTGCAATGTGTAGCATAAGGTTGTTTCACAAGACAAATATTTAAAAACGCCAAACTGGAGGCTTCATATTGGTTTCCCTAAAAGGACACCCAATCCGTTTTTCATGGTTGCTAACATTTTATTTTCCAAGCCTTTCAGCATCTCTTATCCAGACAGAAATATTTGTATTTCAAAATCGAGATTAAGGAGCAAGTTGTTAGGTTCCCAGGAGAAAATGTTGAAACTTCAACAATAAACAAGCTAAATCAGGGGTCCCCAACCGCCGGTCCGCGGAACGTCTTACCGGGCCGCTGGTTGCTGGGCGCTGCCATCTTTTTTTGATAAAAAAAGTGCTTCCGGTGAGCTTTTCCGGGTAGAAAGCTCACCGGAAGCACTTTTTCATCAAAAAAAGATGGCGCCAGCGCTTCCGGTGAGCTTTTCCATTTCTACCCGAAAAAGCCATTTCTACCCGAAAAAGCTCACCGGAAGCGCTGGCGCCGCCATCTTTTTTGACGAAAAAGTGCTTCCGGTGAGCTTTCTACCCGGAAAAGCTCACCGGAAGCACTTTTTCGTCAAAAAAAGATGGCGGCACCCAGTTGATGCCGGTACCGGGCCGCGGCGCCCAGCTGATGCCGGTACCAGGTCGCGGCATAAAAAAGGTTGGGGATCACTGAGCTAAATGACATGCAGTTAACATTACTTGTTATGAGTGATTTTGAAGTAATAACAAGTATGCATGTTTTTTTACTCTAGAAACCATGTATCTTATTCAGGGCATCCTAAAATCAGCATCTTCCTGATTTGCAAGTTGTTTAACCCTTTTGATTGAAAATGTTTTTTTTAAAAAAACAAAAAACCAAAAGCTGAAAACAGTTAAACATTTACATGTTTATTTATAATTACAATTTACATGACTCCATAATGCGACCTCACCACAATGTGTCACTCTGCGATGAAGGCCTACAAAAGAAACTAAAGCTTTACACCAACTTAATGCAAGACCTAGGGGAAGCCATGGAAATGGGGGGGGGGGGGAGATGTGGCCTCCACTATGGAAGCCTTTTCAACGGAATATTTCTACAAGATAACAAAAGTGGCACAAACCTATTACTAAAGGCTTTTACCCATTTCCATGCAAGTGTATAATCCCTGTGTGCTCATATCCTCCACAACTATTTTAAAAACACAAAAAAACCCAAACTATTTATAAAGTTGGGGGACATTAAGAGCAATTGAATTTTATCGAATGCACCCAAGCTTCCTTTAGAAGTCGCATCTCGCATTTTGAGACAACATGAAGCTCAGAACTTTTCCCCCCTTTTAAATCAGAAGAGATAAAAAAGATCTCTCAAGATTTGCTGAAAGGGCATGATGTGTAAGTTTTAATCCGCCTCCGCCTACAGAAAATTTGCAGTGGCGTAGAATGGCTCGTCATTAGAAAATCGACAACGGCATTCATCCCAGATCAGTTTTGAGATACTAATTCTTCTGAGGGGTGACCAGCACTCCAAGCAAACTCTGCAGTGTGTAAAACTCCAGAGAAAAGATTTCTCAAGCGGCAAGTCGGAATTACAGATAACATGGTCAGCAACAAATCCCATCACTACATCACATGCACAACATGTTTGCACTAGAATTGGTTTCTAGACATCAAAACAATCTGCTCCAAAGGGGGTGGCAGGGTGGGGAAAGGAAGGAAGGTGAAGAGAAAAGCATAGAAGTCAGAAGAAAAAGGACACCAGCAGACCTGTCCGTTCTCCAAATTTAAATTGCTGGTTTCATTTTTTCTTAAAGAGTTCAGAATTGCATCGCTTTCTTTAGGAATAGAACAAGTACTCCTCCCTTATGTTCAACTACAACAGCGGCTAGAACTTAAGCAGCAGCACAGGTTCCTTGCGGCTAGAACTTAAGCAGCAGCACTACTTGCAAAAGACACTCACCCCCAAAAAGAGAAAAATTGGGGAGAAAAAAAAAACCTTGAACCAGAGTGCACTCCTGTTGAAGCAATCCCAGTGCTCCCATCTGCTGTGACAGACTAGCAATAATCCCATCGTAATTCAGGCTTGTGAAAGTAAACGTTTCATTCACCCATTTTTAAGTGCAGCAGTTTGTATTGTTCCCTCCTTCCTATGTACAAGACTTCATAGCGATGTGGCCGAAAGCTATAAAATAAAACAGAGACATGGTTTTTTTCCCCCCCCAAGTACACAATAGTTGACTCTTTTTATCTATTTACCTTGCTTTGCTAGATGCTCGTTTTCTTCAAAAGAATAAAAAAGGGGTGGAGGCATAAGGGACATGGCAAACCTTTTCACAAGTAAAAACAGGAGAATTTGAGGGCATTGAGTGTTTATGATTCCCAGACTTGTCTGAAAGGGTATATATAGGGCAGGGGTGTCAAACTGGATTTCTTCAAGGGCCAGACCAGCACTGTAGTTCTCCCCTGTGGGCTGGCGGTGGGGGTTGGGGGGGACGGAACGGATGCCTCCTGCAGTACCCTGCCAGCCAAAATGGGGCATGGGGGGGGGGTCTGGTGTGGCCCCCTTGCACCTTGTTTTCTCCCTCCATGGCTGCTACAGCACTCCTGCCGACCAAAAACAGGCTGCCTGGCCCATTTTTCAGCTGGCAGAATGCTGCAGGAGGCCATGGAGAGGGAAAACAAGGTGCGGGAGGGCTGCTCGTGGTCCATTTTAGCTGCCAGAGGCACTGTGGGCCAGTGACTTGATTTTTCCAGGCCCTGCAGGCCTGATCCGCAGGCCTTAAGTTTGGTATAGGGTCTGGTCTCTTGCTTCAGCGGGGTGGGGGGGTGTTTGCAAGTAAGATCTGGTTTTAAAGATCTAATGGCTACCCTCACTCCTGGTCCCGTGATTGCATTTTGGGTGCCTTTGCAGCAGCATCCTATGGTCAACAGTGCAACAGTGATTTATGACATTTCCACTCAAACCTGGCATTTACTTTTGGCATAAAACGTCCCATAGTAAACAATGGTTCACTTAATGACAGTGACATTTGCTTAACAACCATGTATTCGCTTAATGATCATCACAAAACAAGTCATAAAATTGGGGTAAGTCACATGGATAATCCACTTAATGACCATCCAAAAATGTTAAAGTGGTTCCATTACGGTCATAAATTGAGGATTATAAAACCCTTGAAAAATTCTGCCTTTGAGAAAAGCTCACACCACCATAAAAGCAAGTATTTCACTACTTTAAATACCCCCAAAGTGTCTAATTAGTTAATTTTGAGGGACATAGGCATACTGTTTAATTTTCTTTATTCATTTTCTTTATTCATCCCAGCTGCTGTAACAAAGCTGAACCTAAAATACTTAAGTTTTGTAACTTGCCTGCTGAATTCAAACTCTTCCAGTCCCAACTCTGGGAGTAGCCTGACTTCGCCGCACAGCTCCAGACCCCCCCCTTCCACCACGAAATCCCCCACGAAAATTGCGGCCACGGAGAAATCGCCCAGAAACACCAAAGGTCTCCGTGTTCAGCTTCCGTTCTTCAGCCCACGTTGTACGCCGTGAACTAAAGAACAAAAGTAACCAGTTACAGTCAAGTTCTCTTTAACTTCCTGCTGTAAAACTCTTCTCTCAAGCAAAGACTAAAGTCATCACATCATTTCCCACATAAAGACTCACAAAATATCCTATAAAATATGCTTTATGATTGTAAATTTTCCAAATCATATTGCTGTTGCTGAGATTTCCAAAACACATAAATTAAGCAATTCAGAAGGATGAATTAGGGGTAAACGGGTTCAGTAACCAAGCAGCAGTATTTATGAGTTAAGTTTCTGCCAAGAATATGTTATATACATTTGACTTTTTTCTCTTCCCTCAAAATCTTAACTGAAGATAGAACTTGGTAAAAGTTAAGAAACAAGGATATCAAGAGCCCCAAAGAATAAAGTTTCCAAACATTTTAGACTCCCATCATACAAAAATGAGAGTAAGGCTCAAATCCAAGGATTTCTACTAAGTTTTTGGTTGATCAAGTTCTTTTGGTCTCAAATTTCTTCCTCATCCCCATCTATGGCTGCTTACCAAACTGCAAGGTACTTTAGAGACTAAAAAAAATGCTTTTAGGACTTTTCAAGCATGGCTTCAATAATCTGGGAGGAGCTGTAGGTAAAATCTACAATATAGTACAAAATTGAAAATGGGCATTGGTCCTTACCTGACACGCCATTTCTCTTCGAGCCGTGAGGATCATCCAGAGAGTGGGAGGTGCTTCAGTCTGCGTCGTTGAAGGCTGAGCTTAATTACTGAGGAACGCTCCGCCCTCCATCACGTGGCTCCCTTGCGTTCCCCAGTTTACGCGACGACGAGAGTGAAGAGAAGATCGTGCTCTCATCTTACTATACTAAGAAGGTTCATTGGCCTAAAAAAAAACCCGCCAGATGGTGAAATAATAAGGGTGGGGCTGGATGATCCTCACGGCTCGAAGAGAAATGGCGTGTCAGCTAAGGACCAACGCCCATTCTCCTTAGAGCCGTTCGGATCATCCAGAGAGTGGGACATACCAAAGCTTGGCTGTCCTACGGGAGGGATTCCGTCTGGTTCGGGAGTCTCTGCGGTTCTTTGAGAACTCGCTGGAGGACTCGTCTACCAAACGAAGCCTCCGCCGAGGCAAATATGTCGATCTTATAATGCCTAATGAAGGGAGATGGGGAGGCCAAGGTGGCCGCCCGACAAATATCAGCAATTGGAGCTTGGGTGACCCACGCTGCCGAGGTGGCTGCACTTCTGGTGGAGTGCGCTGTTATGCCGCTGGGTACCGGCAGAGCCTGAGACAAATAAGCTTTGGAAATAGTAGCTCTAATCCAGTGGCCGATGGTTGAAGGGGACACTTTGTGGCCTAATGATTTGGGCTGAAAGGAAAGGAACAGGGATTCGGACCTCCTGAAGGGCCGGGTACGCTTAATATAAATGCGGAGGGCCCGTCTCACGTCCAGGGTGTGCCAAAGCTTCTCCCTTTCCCGCGAGGGATTGGGGCAGAAGTTCGGAAGAGTGAGTTCCTGTGCCCTGTGGAAGGCTGAATTGATCTTGGGCAAAAAGGAGGGGTCCGGCCGGAGAACCACCCGGTCAGCATGGAAGATGCAAAGGTCCTTCCTCACCGACAGGGCTGCTATCTCCAATATTCGGCGAGCCGAAGTAATGGCTACCAGGAACACGACTTTGAATGTTAAGAACTGGAGTGTGGATTCCCTGAGAGGCTCAAAGGGATGTTTAGTAAGGGACACAAGGACCTTATTGAGGTCCCAGGTAGGGTATCGATGAACTGTTGGGGGACACAGGTCAGTGGCTCCTCTGAGGAAAGCCCTAATGCGAGGGTGGAGGGAAAGGGACCCCATGTTGTCACCAGCAATGACGGTTGAGAGGGCTGCTACCTGACGCCTTAGGGTGTTCGGGGAAAGTCCTTTCCTCAAACCTTCTTGGAGGAATTCCAAAACCTGAGCGATGGAGGGTGAAAGAGGGTTGACCTCGAAACTATGGCACCACTTGCAGAAACTATTCCAAGTGGCATTGTATATTCGGGTTGTTGAAGGCCGCCTGGCGGCTAAAATAGTATCAATAACCTGGTCCGAAAACTGTTCCTTTCTTAGACGTTCCCGCTCAACCTCCAAACGGCTAACTGGAGCCACTGAGGATCCGGGTGTTGGAGGGGCCCCTGAGAAAGGGAGATCTTGTTCGGGGGGATTCTCCAGGGAGGGGCCACAGATAAGTTGCGGAGGTCCGCAAACCATGGGCGTCTGGGCCAGTAGGGGGCCACCAGAAGCAGATCTGCTTTCTCGGAGATGAGCTTCTGGATGACTCTGGGGACTAGAGCTAATGGAGGGAATGCCTATAGAAGCCCTGTGGGCCAGGGGCAACGGAGGGCGTTGTAATTCTCGGCCCCATGGGAGGGGTACCTTGAGAAAAACCTTGGGAGTTGTGTGTTGAGGGGGGATGCGAAGAGGTCTACTGACGGAAGACCGAACATCATGGTCGCCTCCCTGAACAGTGACGGGTGGATGCGCCACTCGGACTGGTCCACCGAGGTCCTGCTCAGCCAGTCTGCCTGAGTGTTTGAGTCCCCTGAGATGTGTTCGGCTTTGAGGGAGAGGAGATTGCGCTCCGCCCAATGGCAGAGGCGCTTGGCCTCTCTCATCAAGCGTATGGACTGGGTGCCCCCTTGTCGATTGATGTGAGCCTTGGCGGTGACGTTGTCCGCGAGTATAAGGACATGCCGCCCGCGTATCTGAGGGAGGAAGTAGCGCAGGGCCAGGTGGATGGCGTGGAGTTCCAACCAGTTTATACTGCATGCCCGTTCTGCCTGCGACCATCTGCCCTGTGCCGAGAGCGAGTGGATGTGAGCGCCCCATCCGGACAGGCTGGCGTCTGTGGTGAGGGTGAGGCGTTGGGGCTCCTTGAAGCAATGTCCCTTGTTGATGGCGGGACTGGTCCACCAGAGGAGAGACGTGAGGACCCTTGAAGGCACCTTGACCGTGGCCTTTGAGTTGCTTCTGCCGGTCCTTTGGAACGGGAGCAGGAACCACTGTAGGGATCTAGTGTGTAAACGGGCCCAGGGAACAATGGAGATACATGAGACCATTTTACCCAGTAATTTAGACAATTCTAAAAGTGTTACCTTTCTTGATCGTCTGATATGTTTGACAGTTTCCTGGATGCTAAGGAATCTCTCGGAGGAAAGGAAAACCTTTCCTTGAACTGAGTCAATGACGGAACCCAAGTGGGTGATCCGTGTAGATGGTAACAGTTGGCTCTTTTGCCAGTTTGCCAGGAAACCCATGGTCTTGAAGGGCAGAGAGAGTAGCTCTGATATCCTTCTCTGCTTGGAGTCTGGAGTGAGACAGGATTAGGATGTCATCCAGGTAACAGTGGAGACGAACCAGGAGGTTCCTGAGATGGGCCGCCAGAGCCGCGAGGACCTTAGTGAAGGTTCTCGGGGCAGAGGCCAACCCAAAGGGAAGGGCCACATATTGGAAGTGGCGATGGTTGTAGCAGAACCTGAGGAATTTGGAATGGGAAGGCCGGATTGGGATGTGAAGATACGCCTCTGAAAGGTCTATAGAGGATAGCCAGTCCCCCTGCCTGATGCCCAGTAGAATGGACTGTAGGGTGTGCATCTTAAACCTATGGTAGATCAGGTAACGGTTAAGGCATTTCAGGTCTAGAATAGCCCTCCATCCACCTGAGGATTTGGGGACCACGAAGAGGTGGGAGTAAAACCCCTGCCCCCGCTGCAATGGTGGGACGGGTTGTATGGCCTGTATGTTGAGGAGATGATGGATAGCTGAATCCATTAAGTTGCGTTTGGTGGGATCCCTCGAGGGGGGGGATGCCATAAAAAAGTCAGGGGGGGCTCGCTGGAATTCAAGCGCGAGACCAAGTCTGATGGTGTCTCGGACCCAGGCATCGGAAGTGGAGGAGTCCCATCGGTCGGCGAAATGCTTGAGGCGTCCGCCGATGGGAAGGGAGGGACGGGATCTATCTGGTGCGCCGGAAGGCTTCCCTCCTGAACCCCTGAAGGGCCGCCTGTAGCTGCCGCCCCTCCTGTTCCTGTCGCCCGGATCAGCTCGATCCTGGGGCTGGAATGGCCGGAAGGAGGGGGGTCTCGGATACCTGGGCGGGAAAGGTGACTGGTAGAAAGGTCGTGAGGAACCTCTCCGAAATGGCTGAGGGACTCTTGACTCTGACCTCCGAAAAAGGGGAGGAAGAAATTTCTTCTTGCTTCGGGTTTCAGATAGCAATGGTTCCAGGGCGGTGCCAAATAGTTTGTCCCCCTTAATGGGGGCAGTGGCCAACTTAACCTTGTTTTTTACGTCCGCCTGCCAGTGTTTGAGCCAGAGCAGGCGGCGAGCTGTAACGTGAGAGGTTATTGCTCGGGCGGAGAACTTAACCGCGTGGTAGGTGCCGCGGCCGTCAATTTTGCGATGTCCTGATGTGCCCTTGTGTTAGAGGGGGGAACATGCTGCTTCAGTTGGCGGAGCCACCAGATCGAAGACCTGGTGAAGAAGGAAGCGGCTGTGGCCGATCTAATGGCCCAGGTGTCAGCTTGATGAGCCCTACGTAAAGCTAGTTCGGACCTCTTGTCCTCGGGTTTCAGAGCCTCCAGGGGATCACTGGGGGAGGACGAGGATGCTAAGCCAATGATGGGCTAATCTACCTCGGGAGTGTTAAGCAGGTTGCAGAAGCTCGACTCCAGGTTAAAGAACCTCTTGTCCTGGCTGGATGGGGCGGGGGGGGCCTTGTAGAGTCCAACTGGTTTGAGACCTGGTCGTGGAATATGGGTGGGGCCGGAATAACCTCCGCCTCCACCACGGGCTGCCTAAAAATGGCGTCCTCTTGTCCCTCCGCCGGGGAAGGGAGAGCCGAGGAGGACTGAACAGACAGGCCAGAAATGTTCTTGGCCTTAAATAGAAGCGATTTAAACATGTGTGGCTTGAACAGACCCACAAAGGTGGGTTGATCGGGAGTGAGGCCCTCGTCCTCGGACATGTCCCCTTCCATAGGGTCTATCTCCGATAGGGGCTCCCCTTGGTGCGTAGACCCCCATTCAAAATCCTCCTCCTCCCCGAACCGGTCCAGGTCCTCTATGGCCTCCTCCAGTTCCCTTTCTGGGAGAGGACTGTCCCCCTGTAAAGGTACCTGACCGTGAGTAGGGTCCGATCTAGGCGAGGACCTGACTGATGGCGAGTCGTGTTCGGGCGCCATCGAGGGGGGACCGGACCTGGACATCTGTTCTGCTATCCCCTGGCGGATAGCCCGTTCCATCCATGCCTGCATTTGTGCAGGGATTTCGACTGTGGCGGGCTCCTCCTGGCGCAGACCAGCGGCCGTGGGCGTGAATGTAGCTTCGGGCGGTCGTCTGGTCATTGATCCGGGGGCCTGATGCCCCTGGGATGAGCTGCGCCTGGAGAGGGAAGAGCAATCTGGAGGAGGGGGGGGGTGTCTGGAGGTAGGAGGAATGGAGGGTGGGAGGGCTGGAGGCACCGGTTGTGACTCTCTAGATCGCCTGTCAAATTCTTTCTCCAATGCCTTATGGCGTCTTAGGGCATCTCTTTGAGAGGCTTTGGAAGTTTCCTTAGCCTGCCTGCGCAAGTGGTAGGACTTAGATCTGGCCTTCAAGGAAGGGCCTCTAGCGGAATTGTCATCTGCCATTTTAGAAGTAAGAACTGAATATAAGGTTCTAAGGCGGTTGGCTCGCCAAGGGTTCGACCTACGACCAAAGGTCGGGTGTCCTTTCAGCTGGCCCGCGCCCCCTTTTGGAATTTAGATGTATAAAATCTAGAATATTGTAATGTTATGAATGTTAATATATATACACGTCTCAGCGTATAATTATAAATATATATAGTTCTAATGGTATTGGAATGTATGATTGTCCAATATATAGATATATATATAAATATATATAGTATTTATTTATTTATTTATCTATTATTTATTATTATTAATATTATTGTTTAATTTTATTTATATTATTATTGGATCAACGCTCCCAGGGGGTAGTGACTCCAGAGAATGGAGTTAATACAAATCCAATTTTTCCAAATTTTCCAAATGAACGCCTGAAAAAAACTGAAATGAGGCCTTTAGCAGTTGGAGCTCCCAGACAACAACCGGGAGGGATAGGCTGCTAGTCTTTGCCCTGAGCGCTGCTGCGGAAAGCCAACAATTGCTGAATAATAAAATGCTCTCACTGACTGGAAGGCCTGTGAAGAGAGCTATCCCCTTCGCAGTCGCAATAAGGCCAGGAAAAAAAGGCGCCCAGGCACGTGGCGGCGCCCAAAATGGCGGCCGCCCACGATCTCCTTTTCAACGCTCGCTTCGAGCGATAGTAGGCTTCTCCGGCAGTTTAGGGGCCGAGAGAAGCAGCAAGAAAGAATTCGCCCCTTCCTGGGGCGATCGGCGTTCTCGGTGGGGGGGATCACCAGCTGCGCTTTAACAGCGCGATCAGATAAGCCGCTGCGATGGCGGCGCGGAAGAAGCAGCAGGAAAGGAACCAAATGGGGGGGGGTTGGAGCCGGAGCGCGAAAAACCGCCCGCTCTTAATCCCCTCCGGGGGCGAAGAACACGCTCCCCTTGCTACCGAAGAAACCACCCCCAAATGCGCAGAGGCTAAGGAAGGACAATACTAAAAGGGCAAACCTGAGAATTTAATGAAAGTCTTGAATCGGCCAAGGAGTTATCCAGAGAGTGGAAATACACAGCCTGTTCTCACGAAGGCTGAGCGTAAGCTGGGGAACGCAAGGGAGCCACGTGATGGAGGGCGGAGCGTTCCTCAGTAATTAAGCTCAGCCTTCAACGACGCAGACTGAAGCACCTCCCACTCTCTGGATGATCCGAACGGCTCTAAGGAGAAAGGCATTCACACTTGCAACTGAAAAAGGATCAAAGAGTGCAGATTTAAGGACATTCATGTGTTAAAAAACAAATTTATGCTCAATATCAGGGTATAGAAGAGAATTCCAGGCAAAAACCATATTAAACTGACAGAATTAGTGAGGAAGAAATAAAATAATAAAGCTGCTAGAGTTCTGTTACCTAGACTTTAGTTCTGATGAGATGTTATCAAAGAAAGATTTTGTTTTGTCATAATAGCAGTTGGGTCCCAGTAGATCTTCATCTGGATTGCCATCACAGTTTTCAGCAGCCACAGTAGGCTCTCCCTTTTCTTCTCCGGTGTCAACTTTATCATCTGATGGGGGAAGTGGGAGAGAGAAGCAATAATTATTTTTAAATGTGCATATATAACAAGCTACACTGTTACTAGATTAAGGGTCTCCAAACTTGGGCAATTTTAAGACTTGTGGACTTTAACTCCAAGAATCCCTCAGCCTGCATGGCTGGCTAATGAATTCTGGGAATTGAAGTCCACAAATACGGGCTGAGGAATTCTGGAAGTTGAAGTCTGTAAGTCTTAAAGTTGCCAAGTTTAGAGACCCCTGTACTGGATGTTTTCTTTCATCCACACCAAGGAGAGGGGACTGGAATACAAGAAACAGTCAAAATGCTAACCCTTGAAATTCAGTTTCTTTCTGAATTCTTTATCCAATTCTTCTCGGTTGAACTGTGCATTGGCGCTTTCAAAATCAAAGTCACCTTCAAACTTGATTGTATTCTCTTTCACGGCAGCTGGTCGATTCTGTCCTCTGGAACGATTCCTAGTTCTTCTATTTCCTACACAGAAGATGTTACAATCTTCTAGTGAGAATTCATTTAATTTTAGACAAAGCAAGGCTTGACCCCACATGCTCCTTGCTCAAGGCAATGCATGATGCTGTGTTGTTCAACATCATTTGAATTCCACAGAAGTGATGCCAGCAAGCTGGCTGATCTGGTATTCTCATTCTATTAATGCTTGACTGGCATGAATACCTAGAATTTGACAGAGATCGTCTTACAGTCAGCAGAAGATATCCATCAAATTGAAAACTTCAGGAAATTTTGCTTCTGAATCTTGTTTATACAGATAGTCCTCAACTTACAACTATACTTTTAGTGACCATTCAAAGTTACAACAGCACTGAAAAAAGTGACTTATGACTGTTTTTCATGCTTACGACTGTTGCAACATCCCCGTGCTCACGTGATCACCTTTTGTGCCCTTAAGACAAGCAAAGTCAATGGGGAAGCCAGATTCACATAACAACTGTGTTACTAACTTAACAACTGCAGTGATGCACTTAATGATTGCGGCAAGAAAGGTCATAAAATGAGGCAAAACTCAAAACTATCTTGCTTAACAGTGGAAATTTTGGGCTCAATTCTGGTCCTAAGTTGAGAACTACCTGTATTGCAATGTAGTGAAAAATAATTCTATTTAATTTAGAAATATTTTGCTTAACTTCTACTCTGTTGAACTTTACAGAAATAAGTTATTGCATTCTAATTCATTTTACATTTTGACTTAGATTTGAAACATTACTCATAGACCAGCACAGGCTCCTCATTTAATGATGCTAAAATCATATTACTCCATAAGACTTCAGGTCCTTGTGGACTATACTGATGTCCTTTTACTGTAATTCTTTTAGTTTTTCATGCATAGAGATGTTGAACTCTTTTACCTTTCAACTGAAGTAGGAGTATACTGAATTAATTAGGAGTAATTAACCTTGATTCTTCTATGAAAGGTTGCATTACAGAAGTAACGCAGAAGAGGGCAATTCAGTTGCTTTGAAGAATTAAATTCAATTACTTTGGACAATTTACAATCAGGTAACATACCTGATCTCCTCCTCTGGGGCCTTCTATTCTCATCATTCACCTGCCCTTGCGTTTGCACAGGTGTTGGGTCAACTATATCTAAGACAAAATAGGAAAACCTGTTCACTCCATATAGCCAAGATGCTGAAAGGCAACAGCAGATGGTAGTTCCAATTACTATTAATTTAAAATGCTGGCATAATGTCTGAAGGAAAAGATTTCAGTACCATTTGTCTTGTGATTCTGTGGAATCTGACGTGTGTTGCGTTGAATTGCTGGAGGAGCTTTGACTGCCTTTTTGGGATTCAAGCTGTTATCCAGCGGGCCAGTCTGAACAGCCTGCTCCACCATTGGACTTTTGCGCACTGAATGAACAGATGGAAAAGCAGCACCTGAGAGAAACCAAGCAACGTCAGTAACCCCTGCATTTATTTGGACCAAACTTGATTTGTGCTCAGAGACCTTGGCTCAATCCTGTCAAAAGATTTTGAAACCATCTTCTCCTGAAAGAGGCTTACTCTAGGAAGCATTAGTGATTGATTAAAAACACTGCACGGATGGAGATGCTATAAGGCAGAAATTCAATTTTCCTATAGTTCCCGAATAGTAGCAAATTTCAACAGGTTACTTGAAATAAATTTCACACTGCACGTATTTCACACCAAACCAGATCAGTTCTCAGATTTAGATGAAAATCACACCCTCTGAATCTTTGGGAAGAAAGTCTGAAAGCTAAGCTCTTTCACACAGAAATGTGAGTACTGACATAATTGAAAGATCTGGTTCACACATCACACCGAAGTTGAAGTGTGTTTTTTTTGACTAAGTTACAACTGACTTGATGAGTGCCACATAAGTTATAAGTTTGATAAAACCAAACAAGTAATATTGCTCAGAATGACATATGAATGTATCCATATTTACAAAGGTTAACTGCTCGATTGTCAGGTGATTATGATCATGGATTCCTCACCATATTGACACAGGCAGCTAGTGGCAAAGCTCAAAGGTATAAAAGCATACCAATTTCAGACTTGTGGGATTTGCTAGCAGATTGGACCTATCCATCCAGCAGCATATCTACAAGTTAAAAGCAGCACATCTAAATATTCCATAATAATTTGGTTCAATGGAAAAACATAGCTTTTCCTAGGAGAGCACACATTCAAACTTTCACCAGAATTGGTGTGTTTCAGAAAATCTTTTAACCTGATATCAGTTTATTTGAGCAAATAGTTTCTAATATAAATACCATAACAAGTCATTTGGAAGCCATTCCACTCAAACATGCAAATTTAGAATAGCTGTGAGAAATTTGTTATAAAAGAAAACTCAACAAAGCCTCCATGAGGAAAGAAACAAGCTTTCAGCCTATGTCTGTAAAAAAAATTAGGAGCTGAGCTCGGGAAGATATGAAAAGCCTTTGAGGGGGAGGAATGAACCAGTAAAGACTTAGAAAAACAGCTATAATAGTTCAGAGATTGTTTCTTGACTTGATCTATCTCAAAGAATTGACAAGTCCTCTTGACAAGTATTAAGCTTTATATCTAAGCATTGTTTTCTGGATATTTAACACTGACAACAGCATGAAGCAGTTGTGAAGGAAATAGAAGCACAGCAAGATCAAGGTTCCTGCTAAGGACACATGAAGCTTCTGTTTTGGAAGGAAAATAAAGCATGCAGATAGATGGATTCCTGTAGCTCTTCAACTGCAGAATTCAATTAACTGAATATAAAACTCTTTCCTTTTGATTTATGATTATATTCATCTTCTCTTTCCCATCAAATATTCCATTACTGTGATGCTGATTGAAACATCAAATATGAGAAAATATATTATATATAAAATAGAATCATCCATAAACCTTGTTTGGATCCCATATATCTTAAAAAAACACTAATTGTATTTGAAATTAACTCACAGTAGGCAATCAACAGAGATACGCATTTCCACAGTAAGATAAAGTCCAATCACTTTGTAACTAAATAATTGAAAATTAGATCTGAACCATGAATTCCGATTTGTGTGGGTATATGCTTACAGGCACACATATTTTGTTACTGCTTGAAACAGTAAAATATATATTTATGCTTGTATTACATCAAAACCTCTTGAAATCTTTTCTAAGTGGCCCTGAAGGTGAAAAAATTTCTAGAGCTGCAAATTAACTTCTAAGATGCCAAGCTGGCAAAATAGCATTACCCTTTCTGAATATGCAATGCAAGAAATTCAGAAAACTTCTATTACAACTTAAAAGCCACTCACACAGCTTCCCTCAAATATGATTCTGAGGAGATTTGCAACTTTTTTCTCCCTCTCTGTTTTAGACAATCCAAAATTCAAGAGGAAGGAAACGCCACCCCCACCAAGCATTAACCACGTTCAAGGCTATTCAAGAAAATGCACAAAAATGCATTTAGAAAGCATAGAAGAAAAAAATGTAATCACCTGAAGAAAACAAAGAAGCACAACTCCCTGAAGAAAATCTTACTCTAGAAACGTTCAAAATACTGAACCAAGAGACTGCTCCTTGTCCTCTCCTTCCCAACTTTTGGCTATCATTGCAGAACCCTGGCCTCACATGTTTTGCCACAGAATTCAAGCAAAGAACAACTGCAGGCCCATCAACTAGTCAGGATGCCGAATTCACCAGGCCAGAATTCATCTGGGGAAACCGTTTTACCAAATGTAAACTATTGTGTTCCAACGCCACTCAGGAATTCATAAGACATGCCCGTGTACAATGGATTGCTTTGTCAATGTCCTATCTTCTAGCAATATACTAAATACTGTATTATAGGAATAATTTTCTCCCAGCTTTCATTTGTATTTCCCCCCCCCTCTTCTCTTAGTTGCACAGGTAGGATTTTTTAACAAAGCGGAATGCTTCCAAATCTGCAACAGCTCATTCTCCGTGTGTTTAAGCTCCCAAATTTCCCTGGCTCCATTCTGCACTATCCCTTCAGTCTAGTTTTCATCTCCAGAATGTTAAATGAGTGGCTAAGAAGCAAGTACCTGTTCATCTCTACCCATTCTGATACCTGGAGCAGGTGCACCAAAGGTTTTCAGAAACAAGACTACTGCGGTAATTCTAGCACATGTTACTCTGTTCAGGAAGAAGGTTTTTTTAAAAAAACAACAACAACAAAGCTTTTGCAAACACCATGCAATTCTTCTAATACTTGGAATCCTCAAGCTGCTGTTACCCTTAGAAGACAGCAGATGTGGCTCTGATGACAAGTCAGGCTCTGAAACTGGCTGAGGAGATGAAGAAGTGCTAGGACTGGAAGCAGCTGCTGATGCTGGAGGGCTTACCAGCTTCTCTAGAAAGACAGACAAGGGAGGAGAAGAAAAAGCAGAGGAGGAGACTGGTGAGACACACGGCAGTACCGACATCCAGATGACTGAGGAGAGAAGGTTTAAGCAGCTAACATATTTTTAAAAGTTCTGAAACTGAAAAGAATTTGACCAGGGGACAAGACAGATCCTGTTAAGTTGCCCACCGTCAGATATACATTACACACCATGTGATAACTTTATGTGGAAATGCTTTAAATATGTGACAGAAATGAAGAAATGGACCAAAAAAATTAGTATGTAATTTAACACGGAATAATTTATTTTTCCTGAATGAGTAAGCTTTAATTTTTTTCACTGCTCAGAATTTTACCTTGTGTGTTTCCAAAAGGATATGTTAGTGCTCATGTAGAAAACCGAGTCCAACATTCATCCACCCCCTACAAAACCCCCAAAGAGTAACTGCTCAGATGCACTGAAAAGAGGAAGGAATCTTAGTAAGCGTTCAACGGATATTCGTTCTTTTGTACATTTTACTCACATATACCACCCAGTGAGCAGCCTATCTAAAAGTGGATTAGTTGAACAACCTTCACTTAATAACCTTGTTTAAAACCAGTTAAGTTTTTAATAAAACAATAAGCTTAACACTGGTTTTTGCAAAGTTATGCTTTCAACTTAGAAACAGCCCAAATTCAACGTATCTTTAGTCTAATTCTCACTCTGTGTATCAGTCGGTGCCAAGGTGGGATGTCTTTAGATTAGAGAGTTACATAATGAAATGTTTTCCCACAATACTTTGATACAAATTTCATCAATATATATTTCTCCCTCAGAAGAATATTCTGAGGACATGTAGCCCAGCATTAAATGTTGCAGCCCAGACTGATCATCTCAACGACAGGCAGGTCTTTGTTACTCACCTAAACCAAGGGATGCTGCATATTGCTGTCCAATTAAAGAATTGGCGGCAAGCTGACCGTAGGATGACATCCCTCTGAAAGGACTATAAGGCACATGAGGTTGAAAAGAAGATGCAGATGCAGAGCTCAGAGACGACTGCAAAAAGTGAATGTGAGACAATTAGCAAACAGAAGAAAACAAATGGAAAAATTGTCATTAAATATATGCTTTAAGAAATGCAAAGATTAACACATATTATGCCACTGTTGGTTTAATCATGGTTTCTGAAGAAGCCAAAGTGGTCTGGCTGTTAAATGAGTTTAATATCACACTGGCAGGCAGCTTAACATCTGGTCGATAATTTTAAATCTGATGATGTTGTGAAAGGAACAGTATCACACACACACAAAAAAGGAAAATCCTTGTAACCATCAATTTACAAATCAAGTGAGGAAAGATTTGTTCAGCTGTATAACACAACCAAATTTCCACATCAAGCTGAAGATGAAAATCAAACAACTCTCCTCCAAATTATTTATTATCATTTTAATAAAGAGCCACAGTCGGGGTAGTGTGAAGACATCGGGTTAGAAACTGGGAGACTGTGAATTCTAGTTTTGCTTTAGATAGGGCCAGACCTTCACTCTCAACTCTAGGAAGATGGCAATAGCAAACTACTTCCCCAAACCAAGAAAACTACAGGGACTCATCCAGGCAGCTATCAGGAGTCAAGATTGATTTGAAGGCACCCCAATGTCTTAGTACAAGTCAGCTGCTATAATCTTCACAAATTATAGCCATGAGAATAGATCTTCCTGCCTCACCATCTCCTTCAAACTCCAGTGCTATGTAATGCTAATGTTATTTTTGGGGGGAGGGACACTTTTTGCCCATTGATAGATTTATAAGATTTTAGTTTCTAATGTGTGCATTACTATTTGTCTGCTAAATCATCAATCCTCAATATGTTTCATTTTTGGGTTCTAGGTTCTAATTTTTGAACAGGAGTGCACTGGCCAAGCATTCAGAGATAGTGGTCAAATTTCTTTATAAAACTATGTGGTTCCATCACACTAGCCAGGCAGCAAATCAGGAAAAGCCCACATGCTATTAATTATTAATGTAACAATTTCCCCATTGTTGGAGGGAGAGAGGTGGTCTTAAGATTTGAAATAACAAACTTGATTGAATACAAATACATTTCAATCAAATATGTCTAGGATCAGTACTGCCATTGTGTTTAGAACAGGATCACATGGATTTCACCTTACCTCCCATTTCAATTATCAATGTTTGCAAATGAGTACATCCTAAAACATGGCTAACAATAGTTAAACTAAAAGTGAAACACTTCACATTGACCGCGGTCATAAAGCTTACTTAATATTGGCACCAATTGTACCCATTTTCTGGTTTATTTCAATACATTAAACCATAAACTAATCAAATGGATTAGGGATCACAACAGATTAAACTACAAATAAGAATCCAAGATGAATACTAACTAAGGTAGCATTCTTATGGAAATGCATTTTACTAGGTATTAAGCTGACCTCAATAAGCACTGTCTGTTAACAGTCATTATATTTTAGATTTAAACAGCCACTGCAGTTTATTAACTATGGCTGGTTTATCATGGTGTGTAAACCAAGTAGTATCTGAAATTATTAACATATTAGAAACAATAGCAACTTAGTCAAATATTAGAGAAAACATTTGAAAAACCTTAAAACTCAAGAGATATTTGTTTCCCGTTTTCATTTATTTGCTTCTAAAAAAGGAAACTCCAATATACTGTACATCTGTATTCAAACTTGAATGTTCAGATTTTTTTAAATGGTTAGTACTGTTTTTGCTTAAATAAGACTAGGGGTCTAACTAAACCAATTTGCAGAAATGGCTGTGTTGAAATATGCTCTAGTTACATCAGGTTTTTCAAGTAAAAACTTTACCAAGGGCTATTTTTTAAATGAGTTCAGACAGAAACCCAATTTCCATTAACAAATGACTAACTGTTATAGTCAAGATACCTAAAATATTTCCCCATCAGGATCTGCCTAGTTGAAAATTCATTGGGAAAGAACCCCATTCATGCCTTCACAACTGGGGACATCCTTAGGAAATAGGTGAGATAATCAACCTTCCATCCTTCCAAGGTCAATAAAATGAGGGCCCAGATTGTTGGGGGCAATATGCTGATTCTGTAAAGCACTGTGGAGTAGTATCCAAGTCTAAGCGCTATTGCTATAATCTTCCCAATCACACTCTAGTGTTTTGGAATAACAAGTTTTGTCATTTTTGTTTCTATTTCTGTTATCATTGTGCTACAGCGAATAAACAAGTCTTAATAAGATAATTAATCTACTGTGGTTAAGCTGTTTGTGTTTGTTTTCATTTTCTACGTCACTTACACTTCTATTGTTCTTGTCCTTGAGCACTATATTTAACAGAAAGCAATTTAATCTTAGAAAACATAACAAGCAATAATAGTCATTTTTACTGAATTAGAATTTATCAATAGGCCCAGTTGAATTTATATATTGCCTACTAAGGATGGTTTTTAACTGTTCGACATTCCCAAAGAGATACAAGTGAAACATTTTTCCATTCCAGATGGAATTACTTACTTGGACAATAGCGGGATCTTGGGGCAGATTATGCTGCGCTTTCGGAGGCTCACATACAGTGATATCTTTAATGTCACTCCCTCGGAAGATGATATATTCATAAACTTCTTCCCTTGGAGGAGCAGGGCGGTCTGTGGGACGATCTTCTGTTCCAAATGAGCGCACTTTGAAGAAAGACTTCAATGTTAGTACTTGAACTCAATAGCTGTTTCACACCATCTTTATATGCGTATCACCTTTTTGGCATATGCTTTGACCTATGCTATCAATTCTCAAAATGCGACTTAGTATTCATTGAAGAAAGTAATTGCAGCTCAGGGTTGAACTGTGTGGTCCTCTGTGCTCTCTGAGCTTGATGGTTTTCTTGCAGATGTTTCATTACCAAACTAGGTAACGTCATCAGTGTAAGTTAGTATTTTTTAAAACCTTATACTGATCTGGCTACTGAGTGGTAAGTTGTTAGCACTTGTTAACCAGTATTAAAGGCTGCCTCTTACTTCCCTTTCCATTACACTATATTGTTGCTTTGGAACTCAGATAACTCATGTGAAGGAAAATTTATTAACTGATAATTTCTCAAGTTTTTCTAATGCAAAGAGTAATGGAAGAAACTTTTTTCTCTTCCATGGATCCTCCCGCATCCATGAGGTTGGGCAAATTGTGGCCAAGTGACAGAACATCCTGGGTGTCCTGTTTAATGTTCTCTCCAAGAAGCTTATCCAGTACTTATGCTGATAGAATATGATCTATTGTTAAGCCGTATTTTGAGAGTATTCATTAAATGACTAAAGATAGTCCTTGACTTACAGTCACAATGAGTCCAGTGTTTTTGATGCTAAGTGAGACATTTGTTAAGTGAATTTTGCCCCCTTTTATGACCTTTCTTGTTACACATTACATGAATCACTGCAGTTGTTAACAATACAGTTAAGTGAATCTAGCTTCCTCATTGACTTTGCTTGTCAGAAGTTCGCAACAAGTAACACTGCAAGCATCATAAATATGAACCAGTTGCTAAGCATCTGAGTTTTGATTATGTGACTATAGGGATGCTACAATGGTTGTGTGAAAAATGGTCATAAGTCACTTTTTTCAGTGCCACTGTAACTCTGAATGGTCATTTAATCAAGGACTATCTGTACAATTATGGTCTTATACTAAGCAATCTAAAGGCAGGATCTATCCAATATGTTTCAGCATTAGGCAGAGACATGACATTTTCCAAAGGCTTTACATTACTGTTTTCTTCCTGAACAATAAATTTTTTTTTTATACTGTCATCTTTTTAAAAATGAACTGGCTGGAAATACTTATTAAAAATACTACATAAATGTATTAAATAAGGATGCAACAACACTGTTTTAATATAAGCAGCAATGCTGTTTTGTATGAATGGTCCAGAAATTAAAACATATCAAGTTTCTCTTATGTTTTAAATAAATAGGCTACTCAAAATTATACTTGAATGTTTGTTTTTCACTAACATTACTCATTTGCAGAAATGAAACCATATAATTTGGGGCTGAAGAAAGAAGTAAACCAAAAATTGATGTAATTAATCCCTCAGTTTTCTTTAAATCATGCCTATCCACCCCAGAAGAATGGAGCAATTAGCTTGATACCGAGAGAAATAAAAAAATGTTTATTCAATATGAAGCAAAAAAAAAGCTGGTATTTTTTAAGACAGTAATTCTCAATCCAAAGACTTGTGTAGTTTTCAATGGGAGAGGAAGGATTAACATGACATTTGGACAGAAAGATCAAGGAATTGTTCCACACATTCCGCCTATTAATAGGTTTCACTTTTTGGAGGACAGAAATTACATGTGTATTAGGCTGAACTGAATCAAATTAGCAGAACTTCATTTTCCTGGCAGGAGATTCCTTTGTTTTCACTGTAACAACTGACAAGCTTCCTCATTCATCCACATTTGTTGTTGCCAGATTAAAGCTAGAGGTCTAGTTATATGTTCAAGATATGCCTCAGTACCAGCTAACAACTGTACAATTCTTCAGATGCAGCCAATTTTTTAAAAAGCGGTACCTCTTTTATTTCTTTCCTAAGCATAATCATAGCATATGAGTTCTCAATTTAAGACAATTAAGCCTAGAAATTTAGTCAAATTGTTGTGATAATTAAGCGAGACATTCATGTGACAGACTCACTTAACAACTACAACCCCAGTTCTCACTATTGTGGTTGTTAAGCAACTGCGCAGGGGTGCCTCAGTGTGGGGGAGGCCTTAGAAGGCCCAGCACAAAGAAACCTGTCATGGCTTGAGAGGCCTCAGCCAGCTAGGCCCACTGGCACATGGGCCTCCTATTCCCAAGTCCCTAGAGGTGTGTGGGTTTTCTCCTTGCCCCACCATGCCAGGGTCCCTGCTGCTGCTGCCAGATGTGCCCAGCTGATGTGAGGCTCAGATAGAAAGCTAGCAAAGGCAATCTTCCTCAGAGGCAAATCTTTCTCAAGGCTGACCAGGAATAGGAAGTTGGCCATCAAAATGATGGTACAGGTGAAGTGGGGCAGGGAGAAGGCCCAGGCCTCTTGGGACTATCAGGGCAAGAAAGAGTCTTGCACACCAATGACCCTAGATCAGGGTTCCCCAACCCCCACCCCGGGTCTCTGGATTGGCACTGCTCCACGGCATGCCAAAAACAGTTACCGAATAATCAATCAGCATTTTTGATCTGGTTAGATCTAGATATTAAAAGGCAAAATATTACCAACTGGCAATTTTTAACGGCCCTGCGCACAACTCAGTGTTTCACCATTAGTAATTAAATCAGTCCAATGATTTCACATGAAAAGTAGTTTTCCTTCATTTTAAAGGATTCAGCCATTAAAGTTAATGAAATCCTGAAGCAGATATAACTTCATTTTCAGGATTCTGTAGAAGCTTGAAAATGACAATCTGCTTTAATAAATTGGTCTGCAGCATTCATTTATATAGCTGCTCATCTGAAATATGTGATATGCAGCTAATACTAAAAACACATTCATATACAAAAAAAAACAACCCCCACATAAAATTCATAGCAGCCAAAAGAAAATTACAAAAATATATGGTACCACAACAGGAAATGGGCACCATCGCTCATCCAGAACCCCAGGCTACTGCACAGAACCAAGACTTCAAGGTCTTGCAGGTCTGGGACCAATATAATATCTTGAGGGATGATATTCTAGAGGGCAGGCACCCCTGCAAAAACGACTCCTCTTGAGTCCCAGCTGACACTACTAAGGAGATGGGACCCACAGCACGCCCCAACTGCTGGACAGGATCAGACAACAGAAAAAAACAGGGAGAGGTGATCTCATAAATAATCCAGCCCAATAGCAACAGTACTTAGACTTATAAACTGCTTCATAATGCTACAGCCCTCTCTAAGTGGTTTACAGAGTCAGCATATTGCCCCCAACAATCTGGATCCTCATTTTACTGACCTCAGAAAGATAGAAGGCTCAGTCAACCTTTAGTCAGTCAGAACTGAACTAGCAGCCAGCAGAGTTAGCCTGTAATACTGCATTCTAACCACTGCGCCACCAGGGCTCTTAAAGCCCAAGCCATCTTGAATTGCATCCAGAAGCATATCAGTAACCAATGCAGTTTTGCACAGCAGTGATGTCACATGTGCCAAATAATAAAAGGACTTTTGATTTTGGTGCACATTCTGCACCAGATTAAGCCCTATACAGAATGTGTTCTAACCCTCCAATTGGAGGGTCATTAGGACATGACTGATTGAGCAGGCTTCCTGGTCCAGGAAGGGGTGCAACCTACAACACAATCCAAAGCTGTGCAAAGATCTCTTAAGCATGGCTGTCTCTTGCTCCTTTGTTAGGAGCCAAGTATTCAAGAGGATCTGCAGGTTACACACTGGTTCTGGGGTAGTGCAACAACCATTCAGAACCAAAATGGAAAGTCCCAGAGTCCAGAGGGCCCCAAAACCCAAAGTCACTCTGTCTTGTTTTTGCAGGAGATCTAAATTACAATATCCTTTATTAAAAAGTGCATAACTTTTTTGGTTTTGATGAAAATATAGAATCAGAACCACCACCACCCCTTTCTAGAAATAAAGATTAATTTCAAGAGCTGAAGAAGCTTCTTGGGTGAGAAGAGAAACTTCAAATAAAGTTCCAAATAAAAACAAGAAAGTCCATTTGCCTCTTGCAAAAAGCACCTTTGGGACAGCCATAGCCTGGATGACTGAGAATCTCCATAGACGATTAATTTTAAACTTTGTTTAAGAACACAACATTTAGATGGACCAATCCTGCTGCTGCAGGTTCTACTTTTAAAGTTCCTTCAGGATCAAAAAGTACATTGTTAAAGCAATCAAAGTTAAATGAGGATTTACAAACAGATTTCAGCATTCTTCAGCAACTATACAGTATTTTCTTTTTTCACACTCCTTTCCTTGAGGGAAGAAGAGTTACAAATCAATTTTTAGGTCCTGTTAGGAATAGGGGCTCCCAGTGGCACCAGCACTATTTGGCCACTAGAGGACTTTGCAGCATTCAGCACCAAATCCATGTCTATTTTCCAAAAAAAAACCAGGTAGATTTACAGTCCTACATAATTCTTGTTTAGCTAATGTGATTCTGGAATCTTTGAAGTGGTGCTAGTCTAGCACATGCAGAAGAGATAATGGGTCAGTTTCTAAAGATAACTGAGGAGCCTGTTCCTGCCATTTCAAAAGACGTTATGCCCTCTTCTGTTACCACATTGCGTTTCTCAGTACACATAGTCCTCGACCTACAACTATTCATTTAGACACTGTTCAGAGTTACGAAGGCACTGAAAAAAGTAATGTACAAGCATTGCAGCATCCCCACAGTAATCAAAACTGGGGAACTTGGCAAGTACGTAGCATTTATAATAGCTGCAGCAGCCTGGGGTCATGTCATGGTCATATGAAACCCAGACAAGCAAAGTCAATGGGGAAAGACAGGTTAGCTTAACAACCACATGATTCACCTAACAACTGTGTCAAATTTTTTTGGTAAAATCAGTTGTAACTCACTTAACAACCTCCTTGCTTAGCAACATAAATTCTGGTCCCAACTGTGGTTGTAAGTTGAGGGTTACCTCTATCTGAATTTGCTTTCTTCTTTTACATATCTAAGTTTTGCTTCTCACACATTATAAATCTTTAGAAAATA